AGTGATTACTTTTATGCTTATTAATTAAGCATTTATTTAGCATCTGTTGAGAAGACAATATGGCTTGGAGTTTTTCCCTTTTAATCTATTGAGGTAGTATGTTATACAGATGAATGTTTTGGTGTTGAAACATCTTGCATTCCTGGGATAAGCCTCATCTTGTCATGACATGTATGATCAAGCCACTCAAGATCTTTGTACATCCCCATCTCGACCAGGCCCCGCTTCCCTCACATGACTATCCAGTTCTCTTAATTATACGGCTTAATCAGAAACTCTCCAGGTGCTTGCCCACCGCCCCGCCGCTGGTTTCCCTGGTAACCGATGAGCTCACCTGTTGTCAATTCCCCCCTATAAACGGTAGCCTCCTCCTCCCCCGAGCAGCAAAGATTGTTGCTATGTCCTGTTGCCGTCTGCATTACACGGAGGGATGTTTCTCCAGGACCTTTCGCTTGAGACCTGTAAGATCCTCTATTCAATAACCATTGATATTTCTGTCACTGACCCCGGGCTCTTTCTTTGGTCTTGTAGAGGCTGGGTAACTACAAGGCTTGCAGGCCTACAGGGTGCAGCGCCACATTATATTTAATATCTTTGTATACACTACTAAATTTGAATAGCTAATAAGTTATTTAGGATGTTTATAAGTGAGCTTAGTCTATAATTTTCCTCTTTTTTTTTTTGCGGTACGTGGGCCTCTCACTGTTGTGGCCTCTCCCGCAGCGGAGCACAGGCTCCGGACGCGTAGGCCCAGCGGCCATGGCGCACGGGCCCAGCCGCTCCGCGGCATGTGGGATCTTCCTGGACCGGGGCACGAACTGCGTTCCCTGCATCGGCAGGCGGACTCTCAACCACTGCGTCACCAGGGAAGTCCTATAATTTTCCTCTTTTAACGTCTTTGCACTTTTCCCGTTTTTCTATTCTTTGAAACTACTTGTAAAAGATAAGGATTATCTTTCCCCTGAGGATTAAGTAAAATTCACCTGTAAAATCATCTGGGCCTGGTGTCATTCATGGGTGTGACTAATTACCAATTCTGTTTCTTTACTCCTTGTTAAACGCAGGGTTTCAGTTTCTTTTTGATTTGTGTTAGTTTATGTGTTTCTCAGTGTTTCCATTTAAGTGTTCAGAGTCAGTGATAGTTATTTGTAGTGTTAGCTTATGATTTTTAATCTATTTTATCTGCTATTATGACCCCTTTTTATTTGGAATTTTAACTGTCTGTGACTTTTCATATATTTTCCTCCTTATCAGTTTTGCTAGAGTTTTGCAATTTGGCCTTTCACACATTTTATATAAAAGCCTGCCAGGCTCTAGTTTCAAGCAGTATGACCCTCCAACCGGCCATCTTGTGTGGAGGGGTTTTATTCCCCTTTATTCTGAAGAAGCTAAGCTCCTGGCTGCCCACTGCCTCTCTCAGAATGCCGTGTCCTGCTCACTGTATTTTGTTTCTGTTCATTTGGTCCAGGCAACGTTTATCTTGCTCTTAAGTCTAACTTTATATCTTCTTTGTATGTAATTTTCACTCTTTATGTCCCTACAGCAGAATAGGTTTATCAAAGAACATGATCTTGAGTCCAATCAAATCACAGAGTACGGAGCACTGTATTGGTACTTTACACACAATATTTTCGTTACCATCTTACAGGTGAGGAAAGTAAAGCCAGGAACAAGTGACCTGCCCAAGGCCACTCAGATAATAAGTGGAAGGGGTACCTCCAGAACTGGTCATTCCTTTTCATCACCTGCTCTACCCTAAGCTTGATCCTCACTGCATCCCTTGGCGGGGGTAGGGATATGTTTTAACTTCATCCTTGTAGTTCATGATCCTTATGAAAAAAAGGTTTAGCAAAGTGAGATTTACTGTTAACAGATATACTGCTAAATGCTATGAGGGACAAAATATGTTCTTGTACTTGTCTTTAGACTTTGCTGTAAATTTCCTTATGCTTTGATTGGCCATTGAAACATTTACTTGGAATATTCCTCCTGGTAGTTTTCATGCGAAAGCTTATAAAATATAGGATCTTTAGAGTCAGTAAATATTTCCAACAGTGTTTACCTTTAGTACTTATTTTTTTGTGTTATACCATGTGCACTTATATCCTAAAAAGACAAAAGTCTTCAAGTTTGGAGTTTTCTACCTTTACAAATCAAGAAGCCAGACTTTTGCTCAGTAGAAAATATGATTATGCAAGTAACTACAGAAATGTGGTGTGCAAGTACAGCTTCATTAATGAGTTATGACAGTTGAAGGATGTTCTTGAAGGAAAGATAAGCATTTGCCAGATGTCCATTGGCCTGTGGTAAATCTTAGATTTAAAGATCTATTTGCAGAGAAATATAGACAGCTACCAGCCTGGGCTAGGAATTTTTAAATGTCTCCTTTACCTGAATGAAATACAATATAAAATAGCATGCTTTTGCAAATTAACAACAAGCAACAACCCCTTCATTTTCATGCAGAATTATGTGGTATTTGACCAAATGGGAAAAGTTATGTTTAATTTTTAATGTTGATCCTATGGACATATATGAATCTGTGTACACACGTAATATTGATAAGAAATACATAATTTCTTTGGAAGCACTGGCAACTTAAAAAACTCAATTAAAAAATTGCATAAAATGCTTTTCAAATAAAAACTCCAACTCAGAAGGACACTTCCGCTCTGAAAGCTATTTTTGTTCTTTCAATCTTTAAAATAGACCAAGGAACAGTAACAATTACGTTTTTTATTTCCTCCATAAGAGTGTTCCCTTTATTCTGATTCTGTAAAATGTTTTTTTTTCTGAAGGAAACTTATTACTTTACACTTTTTATTGACTATTTTTGTGTTCTCACATCTTTCCCACTATCTCTAAGCTCAGCATTTCCAAGAAACTCGGGAAACAATCTCATTGTTCTGATGGGCACTTCATTTAGTGCCCCAGATGTGAATTTCCTATATACGTATTTCTCCTCCAAAGGAATTTGGGGCCATAGATCTTGGAATTTTCGTGAGCTTACTCTAGTGAATTCTTGACAGAGAACATCCCCTCACGTACTGATGTGTGGCATGTGTCACAGTTCACTTGGGTGGTGACAAGACTAGCTAATGGAAGTGGACAGGACGTGGAATGTTAGGGTGACTCTGTCTCTAACAAGGAGCACCCGCTCCACAATATCTACACATGGAAAACCCGGGCCCAGAGAAACGGATTCGCTAGGAATCACCATCACCATCATTTCCTGGATCCTGAGGGGGTCTAGATAGGCAATGGGTTATTTCTGGTCGTCCTTTCCACAGACACTTGAGATACACATGTACTTGAGATATGAGCTTAGCAATCTAAATTTTTTTGATTTGTGTTTGATCTTTTATGTCATGTGACTTCAGATGGATTTTGTTTTGCGACTTGAGCTCAACTTTTTTTTTTAAAAGAAATTTATTTTATTTACGTACTGCTGCACGGGCTTTAGTTGCGGCGAGTGGGGGCTACCCTTTGTTGCTGTGCGTGGCCTTCTAATCACGGTGGCTTCTCTTGTTGCGGAGAACGGGCTTCAGTGGTTGCGGCATGCAGGCTCAGTAGGTGTGGCTCACGGGCTCTAGAGCGCAGGCTCAGTAGTTGTGGCACACGCACTTAGTTGCTCTGCGACATGTGGGATCTTCCCGGACCAGGGCTCGAACCCGTGTCCCCTGCATTGGCGGGCGGATTCTTATCCACTGTGCCACCAGGGAAGCCCTGAGCTCAACTTTTAATCTAATATTCTGTTAATATCTCTGAAAGACTTCCTTAGTAGAGAATAAAGTATTTAATCTCACCTCTTTAAATAAGTGTTATTTATGATTTTTATTGAATTACTATAATTATTAATTTTTAGTGTGATGTAATCGTGGTGTTTATTCTTGACTATAGAATGAATTCAAAGTTATTAACAGCTAATAATTAAGTGTTTAGCATTCTGCTAAATGCTTTGCATGTGTTACCTCATTAAAACCCCAAATCCATATTAGTATCTCTATTTATAAAAAGTGGACTTTGAAATTCAGAGAGATTTTGTTGACTGGCCCAAAGTTATACAGAAACTAAGTGGAAGAACCGAACTTCAGATGAAAATATTTCTTTCTCAGTTGCCTAATCATTATAAGATTATAATACATTCTACTATTAGTGCTTAAAATCATTAACTGTAAAGCTTATAAACAATGGAAATGAAATAGTACAAATCACGAACTCACAAAATTATAATGACCTCCATCTAACCAATATAGCCGGTTTTAGCAAACTTTCTAAAACGTAAGAAATGTTTGCTTTCTTTCTTCCTCGCTCCTCTATAAAGAGAATAAAGAAGTATGCCTACCATTGTCCCATCCCAGCAGAGGTCCCCAAGATGGGGTATGTTTGTATGTGTAAGCAACACAATAAAACCCAGCAGCATGGATGCAGCAAAAGAAGAGAGAAATATTTCCTCAAGTCTTTTGGATTCCCTGAGGGAAAAGCAACAGGGGAGGGAAGAGAGGAGATGACAGGTTGACATGGCTGGTTTTACATGCCTTGTGTGTGTACCCTGCTCTTGCAATCCTTACCCAGCTGTCCTCACAAACTCAGCTGTGTCACCAAAGCAAACAACAAACCAAATGTCGGCACCATTCATTATGTGTCTAAAGGCAGGACAAAAAATTCTTAAAATGCAAAGTCTTTGACTCCATTCTCTGAAGTTTGGTATATAGATACCCTATTACTCCGATGTCTTTTTACAAATAAAACTGGAATTTGATTATTTCACTGGAATATTCCATCTAGTTCTTAAAGAGAGTCAAGATTTTATTTCTATCAAGTTTTCTCCATATGTTATTGGGGTAGTGATTTATAATTCTGGTTTTGAAATATCTTCTAATATCTCTGGTTATCTCAGAAGATGCCAAAAAGTTTTCAAAAAGTCCTCCAAGAAAAATGTTGAAACATCTCTAGAGGGCTGTTAAAATAATTCCTCTATTTTTCTCCTTCCAGAATCGCACCATGCCAAACTACAAACTCACTTATTTTAATATGAGGGGGAGAGCAGAAATTATTCGTTATATATTTGCATATTTGGACATAAAGTATGAAGACCACAGAATAGAACAATCTGATTGGCCTGAAATCAAGTCAAGTAAGTAGCACAAATGTAGTTCATGGAAATGTATGTAGAGAAAATGTTTCCAGAACCTTTTGTCTTTCCTCAGAGAAAGGAAAATAGAAAGGTTTTAAAATCTCATGTAGCTTTACACTGAGAAGCAGCAGTTCAGGCAAGTTAAATAAATGCTCTGTGACCCAGAAAATTTCCTACTGAGGTGAAAACACAAACCTGACAGAGGGGGCATATAAAAATAACACAACATGAAGCTTTATCAAAAGAGCTGAAATGGAGGAAATACTGAAGTCAAACTTTTGACCATTGGACTAGCCTGGGCTTACTCAGATATCAATAATATTTGGATGGTAGATAAGATAAGCTGCTGTAATAGAAAACAAAACTAAGATGGCTTAAATAACAAGGAAATGAATTGTACCACATAACTGAAAATCCAGAAGTAGGCCAGGTTTCAAAGGATGGCTTTATCCATTTTTCCTCCTCAGTGTGTTGGCTAAATCATGAAGCTGGTAGCAATATGTTTGCTGCAATTCCAGCCTCACAGTGTTGAAAAGCAATTTTGAGAGGCTAGAGGAGAAAGCACTGCTTCCTTAAGTGTTCCCAGAAGAATGAGGAAAAACTTTCCAGGAGACCTCAGCAAACCTCTCATGTTTCACTGGCTCAGATTGGGTCACGTGTCCATTTCTGAACCAATCATTGGCAAAGGGAATGGGAGGAACCTTAGAATCATCTAGTCCACCTCTGAAGTAGGGGATGGAAGCAGTTTTCATGAGACTTTGTGACCATATAAGAGAGGGGTGGGTACGTGAACAAAACTGGGGTCTGTCTGATCAGAGGAAAGAGCAAATTTACAAATTGGGCGGGTAGCACAGTGAAAACATGCTACTTAGCACTCAGGACAGTGAGGAAGAATTAGAAATATTATTAAACAAACAAAAGTGTGTGGTTTTCAGTTAAGTTGTAAGTCATCCTCTAGATGCTTGCCATGTTCCCTGGAAATACTAAATATTAAGTGTCTAAAATTTATATCTTTATGCTAGATTATTAAAATTTCAGATAAAGATGAAGCTGAAGAAAACAACTATATAGCATTTGTAGGCTATCAGAATTGGATAGTCTGCAGACCCTATTTCATTTAATTTCTCTAGCACGTCAACACGGGATGTATTATTGTTTCTATTTTATAGTTGGATTAACTATTAATTTTATAGTTGGAAGCACACAGAGTTTAGGTATTTTTTCCAAGTTCACAGCCCTAGCAAGGTACAGCTGATTTTCAAACACAGGTCCATCTAATACTATAGCCCAAGTTATTTGCACTAGATAATGCCAACAAAAATAATACCATGATAATTGATGTATTCACAATAAGTATTGCCACTTGACTTTTGGAAGCATGAGTTTCTCTGAAGTCATTGCCCCTGTAATTACTCCTTTTCTTATCAGAGAACTCTTCTCCGATGGGATAGAATATCTTATTTCCTGTTCTTCTGAAACTTTACCTTTAATATCTGAGCATTTCTTCTGATATCAGAATTTGTACATGAGCTTCTGTGGACATAAAATAGGTGAATATTAAATTTATCCATTAAATAAGTCAAGATGAATAGCAAGTTGTGGAGGTATTACATATAACAAATTCTGCCTCTTAGTTTTTAGATATAAGTTCTTTGTATTCTTTATACCCTATTCTACCTTAACTTTTCATTATGTTATTAAAAATGGAATTACTGCATTTTCTTAATGTTTTCACATATTCTTAGAATTGAAAGGGATCTTCAAGTTAGTGATGGCTAAGCTACAGTTTCAAATGCTTTAACATACACCCAACACAAAAATGGCTTAAAGAGGATAAAAATGTATTTCTTTTGCATAAAAGCCCAAGTTAGTATAGCAGTTCTACCCCATGATGTTGTCAATGATGAGGCTCTTTCATTTCTGTTCATCTGCACCCGTAGTGGGTTCTTATTGACACAGTGTGAACAGTTCACCCTCCTTCCATATTCCAACGCACAGAAAGTGCAGAAGAGGGAAGAGAACACACCTCTTCCTTTTAACAGCCTGACCAGAAAGTTGCACACATCGCATCAGTTATATCTGTTTGGCAAGAAATTAGTCACGTGGTCATGCATTACTGCAAAGGAAGCTGGGAAACGTTGACTTTATTGTGGACAACCATTTTCCCGGCTAAAAATCCAGGATTTTATTACTTTAAGAAAAAAAAGCAAAGAATAGATATTGAAAAGCAGTTTCTATTACAAATTGTATCTGGTATCGTCTCCTGTCCAATTTAGGGATGCTCTCTAGTGTTTGAAACTCGCTATGACCATCCCCTCTGCTATAATCTAGAATATCATTGGATATTTCTATTAAAATTTTCTTCCTGGTCAAACCTGGTAGATTGTACACATGTGTTTAATCTCTCCTTTAATAACATTAAAGTACTTAAAAAAAAGTCACCCCCCCCCCCCCAAGGACAAAGAAATCAACCTTGAATATGATAGCACAAAATTCTGGAAGCTAGAAAATCGGTCAAAGAATGGTAAGGTGACTTACCATTAAGGCCAGTGATGCTCAAATTTAAGCCTGGAGGAGGAGAAGGCAAGCTAAATCACCCCAGAGATCCTCCAAAGTGTCAGGAATTGGTTGCAAAAGATAACTTTAAGAGCTGAGCTGATACAGGGTTGCCTGAAAAAATATGAAGAAGCAGTATGACCACAAGTTCCCTCTCTCTCCCTGGAAGAAGCATAGAGATTACTTTCAAGAGGATGGACCAGAGGATTCTAGGACACCAGGCATGTCTCGGACACAATGCTACAGTAAACATGGCATTCAGTGGAAGTCTAGAAACTAGATGGTGGGACCAACAGCCCTTTCCCCTGCTCTACAATCAATGGCAACCAGACTAATATCCCTCACACAGGAAATGGGAGGAATTCTCTCTGGGGAAGCTGATCAGTCTAAGAAAAATGTCTAACAAATACTGAACAGATGGGGATCCCTCAATGAATTTGCCTAGCCCAATCTGTGGGCAAGCCCCTCCTATGCACACTGAGATTCCAGTGAGCTTTTACTTCTTTGCCCTTTTAAATAGTAATGGCAAGTCAAAAGTTAACCCATATTTGCGAAAACTCTCTAATATAAAACAGACCTAAAACCAAACACCTCTGGAGATGTCAAGATGGTATAGCAAGAAAACAAGTTCAAAAATATAAAATCCTCAGAGAAAAGAGAAGATATTCTATACAATCTTAAAGGAATGTACGGAGACAAAAAGTTCTTGGAAATGAATGTCGGATACAAAGAAATCAATAAAATGATGAAAACTAAGTAAATCCCCCAGAAAGCACAATAGGAAAAAAATGAAAAATAAGAGAAAAAAGATAAGGAAAATTGAGAATGAACCAGTTTAGGAGGTCCAACATCTCCATGAAATTCTGGGAAGGGAGAACAGAAAGAAGAGGGAGGAAAACTTAAAAGAATCTTCCTTATACAAAATTGAAATTATGTCCATGTGGCTTTCATACATTGGTCTTGGACTTACCATTTTATCCACGGAGAACAAATTATTTTTTCTCTCACATCCAGTTATTATAAGACATTTAGTAAATTCAAGACATCATAGAGAAAAAGCCCTTGCAGTATAGTCAGTTTAATGAAAACGCTCTGAAGATAAGGAAGGTCTTTGGCTGAATTCAGAATTGAGTCCCTAGGTAACTCATTACCTGTATCTCTATTTAGATGTCAACTTTTGGAGCTTCCTTGATCGTTTCTCTGATCATTATTGTGAAATTCAGTCCACCCTTCCCACCCCTGACTCTACTTCTTGATTTAGGTACTGTTTCCTATGGACTGTCTGAGATCTGCAATCACATCTAGGTTCAAAGGACAACTCTCTTCTCTTCCTGGAGTGTTCCATTTATTTCCCCTGGTTTGGGTTTGCTCACCACCCAAGTAGAACAAGCTTCTGTTAGACTCTGTCTGCTAATTTACGTGTAGTGCCTGTGCCTGCAAGCATAGGAACAGCACAGAGCAGAATGGGACCATCACTCCTGGCACAAGTGTAGACATTTTCCTAAGACGTTTTACCAAGATCACAGTAGCTATGTTGGCAGCCATATCATACTGAGGCCTTGCATTCAGCACCACTAAATCTCTTAAAGCTTTTTGACAGGTGCTCCTGTTAAGTTACAACTCCAACACCATGAAATTCTTTTTTTCTGGAACCAAATAAAGGACTTAGCATTTGTCTTCTTAAATTGCTTCTTGTTAGATGCAGCCCATATTCCAATTGTTGGCAATTATTCCAAGCTTGGCTAAAATGCTTCCAGTAGCTGAAAGCTTACCACCTCATAAGAAAACACATTCCATTGTAATAGCTCCAAAGGTAACAGAATTATTCTTCATCTTGAGTTAAAATATGCCCTTTAGGACTTCCCTGGTGGTGCAGTGGTTAAGAATCTGCCCGCCAATGCAGGGGACACGGGTTCAAGCCCTGATCCGGCAAGATCCCACATGCCGCGGGGCAACTAAATCCTTGCGCCACAACTACTGAGCCTGCGCTCTAGAGCCCGCGAGCCACAACTACGGAGTCTGTGCTCTGCAACAAGAGAAGCCACCGCAATGAGAAGCCCGCGCACCGCAACGAAGAGTAGCCCCCGCTCGCTGCAACCGGGGAAAATCCCGCGCGCAGCAACAAAGACCTAACGCAGCCCACCACCAAAAAATTAATTAATTAATTAAAATATGCCCTTTAAAAATTTCTTCTTGGTTCTCATTCTGCATTTTAGAGATAGTCCAAATAAGTAAGATTATTTTTCCATTTGATAGCTATGCCATATTGGAGATGGTTTTTATGTTCCACTTCATTTGTTCTGTCCTCTTCAGTGAAGAGTGGTAGAAGTTCTTCAGCCAATCCTCATATCATGTGATTTTCAGACCCTCTCTAACTTGGATACTATCCTCTGGGCTTGCTTTGATTTTTAATGTCTTTCAAAAACATGGCTCTTAGAACTAGAAAACAGCTGAGTAAGAGTTCCAACTGGATTTCACCTCTCACTTGGCTCTCTCCTCTATCAGGTGTGTGATCTGGACTACTTCTATAACCTCTCTTCATCTCATTTCCTCATTTATAAAATGAGATGGTAGTTAATACCTACTTCATAGGGTTGTTGTAAGTAGCAGAAGACTGAATGGGCACGTTAAATATTTAGTACAATGCCTAGCACAAAAGGAAGCTCCCCTCAAAATGTCAGGCATGTTAATTCCCTCTTGATTACATACTTTGCTTCAAATAAGGCATCACAGTTTGTATCAGTTTTATTTGGGACTTTGTTTTGCTCACTGCAGTATCTCAAACACCTGGAATAGTACTTGGCACACTTATTAGGTAAGTGTTCAAAGATGTTTTTATTCCTGATGTGAACTGTAGTTCATCTTGTACTTATTCAGTGCAAACGAAAGACGCTTGAAGGTTGATTCTAGTAGCTGTGTTACAGTCATGGGATTATGAGTGGCACTTTATTCTTTTCCCTCTTTCCAAAATAATTATATGTCCCAACCTAAGGCACTGGTTGGGAAAATTGTGATTAATTCATATGGCAAAATGTATGCTTTAAAAAATGATGTTTTATTGATTTAGAAAGATTTTAAAAGGTATTATCAAATTTAAAAAAGTGGTTTACAAACATATATACATTATGATTTTGTTTTGATATATATATGGGAAAGCAATTAAAATATTTATCATTGTGTGGTAGAATTATTTTTATTTATCTTCAACTTAGAATTTTTCTATAACGAAGAATAATAAATTATTCTCTGACAAAAATATAATAGGTTTAGATAAGAAAACAAAGTAGCATTTACAGATAAATATTAATACACCTGCTATGAGTCTGTCCTATATTTGTACAAATATGCTTGTCGCTTACTATATACTTCAAATGATCAATAAGAATGCGGCTAAGTTCCTTGTCATAACTCAATATCAAACTCTTCGTATTCCTCAGACTATGGTTTTAAAGAATAATTAATGTAATCTCTGAGGACTGAAAATTTAATAAGGCTTTAAAAGTTTAAAAAAATTATATCGTAAGTATGTGAGATAATGTATAATATATATCGATAGTATCACTGTGAACTTGGGGTTTAGACCCAGTTCTGTCACTAAGTCTATAGCAGCTCTTCTAACAACTCTTCTTTTCCCCTTTTCTAAAAAAATTGAGGCATAGTCGCTGTTCAATATTATATAAGTTGCAGATGCACAATATAGTGATTCACAATTTTTAAAGGTTATCCTCCATCCATAGTTATTATAAAATATTGGCTGTATTCCCCATGTTGTACAATATATCGTTGTAGCTTATTTTATACCTAATAGTTTGTACCTCTTACTCCCCCACCTCTATCTTGTCCCTCCCCTCTTCCCTCTCTCCACTTGTAGCCACTCATTTGTTCTCTATGTCTGTGAGTCTGTTTCTTTTTCTAACAACTCTCTTTTTTTAAACTTGTAAAATGTAAAGATGCCACTAGAGGATGCCTAATGTCCCTTCTAGAATAAATATTCAAGAATTCTGTAACGTTACCATCATGTTTTATTTCCACAATTATCAGTAAAATGGAAGCATTATAACTTGATTTTGTTCTGGAAGTTGATTCTTTGCTCATTTTATTTTAAGCTCTTCCATTTGGCAAAGTTCCCGTTTTGGAAGTCGATGGATTGAACCTTCACCAGAGCCTAGCAATAGCAAGATATCTGACCAAAAATACAGGTAATATATTGTGTGTACAGTTTTTGATAACTGAAATAAAAACACATGGCATATATTCAATATTCATTAAGTAATGTTATTACTGAATGGGATTAAAATATAGTGCAAAGGAGAATGGGATTCAGTGCCAGAGAAGTATAAATATACCATCTCTACCAGTCTAATTTCCCCTGAGTTCCCTAGACAATTAATTTTATACTGCCTGCAGTCTCTCCTGCCCCACACTCCCTTGTCCTCAATCCCTTATTGGAATTTAGCTGAAAAATTAGACAGATGTGTCTGAACCCAAACTTTTGCTAGCATGCATATCACAGGTTATCAGAGAAGATTAATTAATGGGAAATACGTGTGGCATAGGTAGGCTGAAATGACTCATACTATTAAAATCATGTACCCAATGTCTTTCATCCTAATCGTGCTAAAAAAAATAGAAGGGGAGTCTTCTTTGCCTCCATAAAGTGCCATCTGAGGCCTCCTGAGTGGGTAGTTGGCTACTGGATTGTTTATTTAGCGCATGCGCTAACGTGATGAGATGAGGAGTAATAAGGGAAACTTAGTTCTCATCTTTGCCTGGTGCCTTTCCCCATCTTATGCTCTGCTGTCTTCTCTCTCCCCTCACACTCTCATAACACTCTTTTTGAGTGAAAGGCTACATTTGGCTTCTTTTAAAGACCCTTTCTTTATAAATAATCTGCAGAATCACCATGTCCCACTCCTGACACTGACACCCTCTTTGCTACCCCCAAAACTACTATGATCCAAGCTGTAGAGACATGGTTATCTTTTTTTTTTTTTTAATTCGTTTAATTAATTAATTAATTTATTTGGCTGCGTTGGGTCTTCGTTTCTGTGCGAGGGCTTTCTCTGGTTGCGGCAAGCAGGGGCCACTCTTCCTCGCGGTGCGTGGGCCTCTCACTGTCGCGGCCTCTCCTGTTGCGGAGCACAGGCTCCAGATGCACAGGCTCAGTAGTTGTGGCTCCTGGGCCCAGTTGCTCCGTGGCATGTGGGATCTTCCCAGACCAGGGCTCGAACCTGTGACCCCTGCCTTGGCAGGCAGATTCTCAACCACTGCACCACCCAGGAAGCCCGAGACATGGTTATCTTACCAATAAAATGGGCCATAATTACTAGACCTTCATTTTTGGACCAAAGTAATGTATGTATGTTAAAAATACTAAAATTTGTGTTACACTAACACATTTCAACCAACAAAATTTTTTGGAAGTTTAAAAGAGATGGAGGGACTTCCTTTGTGGTCCAGTGGCTAAGCCTCTGCACTCCCAGTACAGGGGGCCTGGGTTCGATCCCTGGTCAGGGAACTAGATCCCACATGCCACAACTAAGAATTCACATGCAGCAGCCAAAAAAAAAAAAAAACAGATCCCACATGCTGCAACTAAAAATATCCTGCGTGCCGCAACTAAGACCCAGCAGAGCCAAATAAATTAATAAATAGATAGATAGCTAAATATAAGAGATGGAGATGACTTCTGACTATGGAAATTTGACTTTGAAGTGGAAATGACATTTGAGTTGAGCCTGAAAAGATACCTAGAATTTCAAGAGAAAGATTTGGACTTGAGCAGTGTTTCTCAAATTTTATGTGCATCAGGATCACTTGGAGGCTCATTAAAACAGATTGTTCAGCCTTGTCTCCAGAGATTGTGGTTCAATAGGCCTAGGGTGGGAAATTTGCATTCTTACCAATTTCCCAGATGATGCTTATGCAGTTGGTCCATGGAACTCACTTAGAGAATCTCTGGACTAGAACATTCCAGACAGAAAAAAAGGCAGGAGAAAAAGAAAAGAACTTCAAAATTTGCTGGGTGGAGCGGAAGCAGAAAGAGAAAGGGATGGAAAAATAGATTCTGGTAAGAAAGAGCCAGAGTATTAATGTCATCCCTTAAACAATTGTAGAGTTTTTTGGGTTTTTTTTTGCGGTACGCGGGCCTCTCACCGTTGCGGCCTCTCCCGTTGCGGAGCACGGGCTCCGGACGCGCAGGCTCAGCGGCCATGGCTCACGGGCCCAGCCGCTCCGCGGCATGTGGGATACTCCCGGACCGGGGCACGAACCCGTGTACCCTGCATCGGCAGGCGGACTCTCAACCACTGCGCCACCAGGGAAGGCCCTGTAGAGTTGTTTTTAAATTGAGATATAATTCACATATAACATTACATTAGTTTCAGGTGTATGACATAATGATTCAGTACATGTATATATTGCTAAATGATCACACAGTAAATCTAGTTAACATCCATCACCTCACATAGTTACAGGTTTTTTTCCTTGTGATGAGAACTTTTAAGAACTACTCTCTTAGCCACTTTCAAATAGATGGTATTCTTAGCTATACTCACCATGCTGTACATTACATCGCCAGGGCGCATTTATCTTCTAACTGGAAGTTTGTATCTTTTGACCACTTTCACCCATTTTACTGCCCCTACCCCTGCTCCTGCCTCTGGTAACCATCTGTTCTCTGTATCTATGAGTTAGTTATTAGCAGTAATTTTTAAAGATTCCAATATGAGTGAGATCACACAGTGTTTGTCTTTCTCTGTCTGACTTCAACTTTAAATTTTTATCTGGAAAAGCAACATAACCATGGCTATGAGCTTAGGAAGATTATTCTGGCCATACTTTGTTTGGCATGACTGCAGGGGTGCCTATTTGGGAAATATGAGAAAGTTTGTGAAGATAGAATCATCCTAGGGTTAGAAGACATACTGGCATGTGGAGGGAAGTCTATTTGAGCAGGAGAGTAAGGGCCAGGCAGATGACACCTGATCATAGCTCCTTATTCCCATAGCTCCTTGGCCTTATCCTCTTCCTTGTCCTCTTCTTAAAAGAAAAAGTTCCTTAACTTGCAGTATCCTTTCCATTGTCTGTCTTTCCCAGTTAGCCGTAAGTGCCATGCAGGCAAAGAATTGATCTCCTTTGTTCACTGCTGTAGCCCCAGTTGTGGCCGACCCAAAAGGATACATAGAGAACTATCCCAAAGGAAGCTGAGAGGGCTTCCCTGGTGGCGCAGTGGTTGAGAGTCCGCCTGCCAATGCAGGGGACGTGGGTTTGAGTCCCGGTCTGGGAAGACCCCACATGCTGTGGAGCAGCTGGGCACGTGAGCCATGGCCGCTGAGCCTGCGCGTCTGGAGCCTGTGCTCCGCAACGGGAGAGGCCGCAACAGTGAGAGGCCCGCGTACTGCAAAAAAAAAAAAAAAAAAGGAAGCTGAGAATATGGCTCTGGAATTTAGGACTAAACATGTTGAATGAGTCATCTGTATAAAATTGACAGCTGAAGCCTTGAGTGTGGAAGTCAAAGTAGGGATGAAAATGAGTGAAGAGACCTTATGATACATTTCAGAGGGATTTCTCAAGGTCAGAAAGAAGAATCAGTCTTTGAACATCACACACGTGAAAATATTGATAGCTTACAGAAGAACGCTAATTACTAAGGCATTTTCTTTCACTTTTAACAGCTTTATTGAGGCGTGATTTACATACAGTTCACCCATTGTCAGTATATACAGTTCCTTGATTTTTAGTAAATTTATACATTTGTACAAAAGCAATCTATTTTATATTTTTATTTTTTATTAAAGTTACAAGTTATAGGCGTACAATATAGTGATTCACAATTTTTAAAGTTACACTCCATTCACAGTTATAATAAAATATTGGCTATATTCCCTGTGTTGTGCAATATATCCTTGTAGCTTATGTTATACATAATAGTTTGTACCTCTTAATCCCCTACTCCTATATTGCCTCTCCCCACCCCCACTGGTAACCACTAGTTTGTTATCTATATCTGTGAGTCTGCTTCTTTTTTGTTATATTCACTAGTTTATTGTACTTTTTAGATTCCACATATAAGTGATATCATACAGTATTTGTCTTTCTCTGTCTGACTTATTTCACTTAGCATAATACCCTCTAATTCTATCCATGTTGCTGCAAATGGCAAATATTCTTTCATTCTTTTTTATGGCTGAGTAATATTCCATTGTGTATATATATATATATATATATATATATATATATATATATATACCATATCTTCTTTATCCATTCATCTGTTGATAGACACTTAGGTTGCTTCCTTATCTTGGCAATTGCAAATAATGCTGGTATGAACATTGGGGTGAATGTATCTTTTTGAATTAGAGATTTTGTCTTTTCCATATGTATGCCCAGGAGTGGAATTGCTGGGTCATATGGTAGTTCTATTTTTAGTTTTTTGACAAACTTCCCTACTGTTTTCCACAGTGGCTGCTCCAATTTACATTCCCACCAACAGTGTAGGAGGGTTCCCTTTTTCTTTTTCTCCACATCCTTGCCAACATTTGTTACTTGTGTCCTTTTTGATGATAGCCATTTTGACAGGTGTGAGGTGATAGCTCATTGTGGTTTCGATTTGCATTTCCCTGATGACTAGTGATGTTGAGCATCTTTTCATGTGCCTGTTGGCCATCTGCATGTCCTCTTTGGAAAAATATTTATTCAGTTCTTCAACCCAGTTTTTAGTTAGATTATTTGTCCTTTGGATGTTGAGTTGTATGAGCTGTTTGTATACATTGGATATTAATCCCTTATCGGTCATAACATTTGCAAATATTTTCTCCCATTCAGTAGATTTTCTTTTCATTTTGTTGACAGTTCCCTTGGCTGAAATGCAACCTATTTTAGAATGCTTCTACACTGAATCATTTTAGAATGATTCCTTAGCAAAATGATGGTCAGCGAATGGCAGTAAAGAAAAAAAACAACACTTCTATTATTTTAAACTTATAATTCCCAGGAAGCAAACAAATGCTCCTGACAAAAAATTATCTGCACATGTAACAGTAATTCTTTCTACAAGATAAATGATAATGTATGTACAGGTTATTTATTGTAGTATCACTTGCACTAGCAAAAGACTGGAAACAAACCTAATCAGTTGAGGCTAGTTAAATAAATTGTGGCACTTCCACTTAAAGGAATCCCATGTACCTGAAAAAAGAGCAAGGATGCCCTTAAGGGACTTGTAAGAAAAGACCTCTAGTATATATGGGGGAGGTGTGTTTTGAGTGGGATACCTATTCTTATTTTCATTAAGAAACAATGGAAGAATACAAAATAAATGAATGAAAATGGTTACCAATATGGTAGGTAGGTAAGGAAGCAAAATGAAGTGAATGGGTCAGAGGTGGAAGTTAGTCTTCACTGGATACTGTTTTATATTGTTTTGAATTTTCGAACCATATTAATATATTGCCTATTTTTTAAAAAGTTTTACTATAGTAAAATAAATTGAGCATAGTCTTGGGCAAAAAATGGCCTGTCTCTATTCCATAGATTTGGCTGGAAAAACAGAATTGCAACAATGTCAAGTTGATGCAGTCGTGGACACACTGGACGATTTCATGTCTCGTTTTCCTTGGGCAGAGAGAAAACAAGATATAAAAGTAATGTGATCAGTTTGCTGTTACTGCTATTAATCATATCCACTTGCCAAACATTATGTTAGGTGCTTTTCAAAGTTCCTTTTTATCAAAGTAAGACACACATCTAGTTTTAAAATATCAAATTATATTAAAAAGTTTAAAACAAATTACTACAGTGATTCCCAGCCTTACCTCTTCATATTAACCCTTCCTCAGATGCAACGCTCATTTTAACACTTTTAGCTGTTTCTTTAGGATTTATATATCTCCATATTTTCTATAGGATATGTAAATATGGCTTTCTTTGATTCACAAATTTTAGATAGTTTGGGCCTCTCACTGTTGTGACCTCTCCCGTTGCGGAGCACAGGCTCCGGACGCGCAGGCTCAGTGGCCATGGCTCACGGGCCCAGCCGCTCAGCGGCATGTGGGATCCTCCCGGACCGGGGCACGAACCCGTGTCCCCTGCATCGGCAGGCGGACTCTCAACCACTGCGCCACCAGGGAAGCCCTAGATAGTTCTGATAGACTTATTATAGTAATTAGAATTTACCTCTTACATAGTCATTCTCTTTGCTTCCCTTCCCCCAAACTCATATTATTAAAATTTTGTGGTGAGGGGGCTTCCCTAGTGGTGCAGTGGTTGACAGTCCACCTGCCGATGCAAGGGACACGGGTTTGCACCCTGGTCCAAGAAGATCCCACATGCCACTGAGTGGCTGGGCCCGTGCGCCATGGCCGCTGAGCCTGCACGTCCGGGGCCTGTGCTCCGCAACGGGAGAGGCCGCAACAGTAAGAAGCTTGCGTACCACAAAAAAAAAAAAAGTTTGTGGTGAAATCTATGTTCAGTCATTACATTAGTATGCCTATGCAGATATCGTACAAAACTGTGCATTGTGGTATACTTTGATATTTCCTTTCTCACTTTCCTCCTCAAATTAGTAATTGTCTTTTTTTCATTTGCTTAATTCTTTTTTACTTTTATTGCTGAACCTTCCCACAGTATCCAATGGCCTGCCAATGCAATTTTTCACAAAGTCAATGTTATCAGATAATCTACTGTTTCCATTATTTTCTTGGAGCTATCGAGCCAGAGATTTCCATTCTCCTTTGTAGAGCTGTCTAGGTTTTTGCACAGCTGTCATCTTTGGACTTCCCTTCACTGCCATCCCAGGAACGTCTTTCTCTTGAGCTGGAGTCATGTTTACTGGATGACGTCCTCTGTTTTTATTTACTCCCTTGTTTACTTGGCACACATCTCCAGTATTCATATCTTTTATCCTCAAGACTTCTTCATGTAAAATTTTGGAAACTGTTGTTATCCTCATTTTCCAGATGAAGAAATTGAGGTTCATGTAGTGTAAATAACTTACCTAAGGTACTTAGCTGGTAAGTGGTACACAAGGAATTCAAATCCCAGACACTCTGGCTCAGACTCCATGTTCTTAACCACTGGATATAATGCCACAGTGGTAGCAGCCATTCAAAACAGCTGTGCAGGAGTATTTATGTACATGTTATGGCTTAAGGCCTGTATCCAAAAGCTACAGCACAGAACAAATGGCAGTCTTATCAACTTACCTAAGCATATTTATTCTAAATACTGTTTGTTTAATTAGGACCCTCTGATTTAAATAGAGATATTTGGAACATAAAAGTATTCACATTTACCGATTCCTTGACATAAATGTAAGGTGTGTGGGAAGACACACACACACATACATATATATACAGATACCTGACTGACCAGAACAAAGTCTTAAATAAAAACTCATCTTTAAGGATAAAAATACATTTGGGCTCTGGAGTCAGACTGCCAGGCTTGAATCCTGATTCTCTTTTTACCAGTTGTCACTTAACTCCCTATCAACTTTTCACATTCTATGTCTATGTAAAGAAGGGATATCATAGAATCTGCTTCGAAGTATGTTGGGAGGATTAAATGGTAGCATAAGTACCTACGGCTAGGTTGAAAGTGTTCACTAAATATTAGTTATTATAGTGTTTTTATATAATTCAGTGCTCATTGTTTTTCCTTTTGTCAGACATGACATCTATATTTCACATATCCTTATAAATGCAGAGACAAGTAGATGCATAATCCTCTCAATTTAGAAAAAAAAGTATCTAAAGGTTTTTGTTCCATGTGGGCTTGCCCTTCTCTACTTCTCTATTTTTCCATTCTCCTTTTCTCCCAAAGGAAAATGTTCTTTGAACATTTATGATAAGGGGAACTCTACCTTTGTATTAGAATAACAATGCTCTTACATGCTACCTACCTCAGAAAAACAAATTCACAGGACATATTCCAAGTTCATGAATAAATCATATGAAGGGACAACATGTTGCAGAAATAATTGCGAATAGCTGGACTATCTGATTAATAAGCAGGACCTGGCCAGAATACAATGAAAAATACAGTTCTTTTGCATCTCATTACTTAGTCTCTCCGTAGTGGGTTGCATTGCTGCCACCTTGTGGTCAGATAAAATTTTCAAAAGCAGAATATTGATACAGTAAAGATGGATGAACAGTGAAAATAGTCCTCTTATATGTTCTTTAAAAATCTATCGAGTACACATAATTATAAATGTTTCATGCTAAAAATTCCAATTTAAAATTAAAAAAAATTAATTTAAAGGCAAAATATGTCTCTGAGCATTGGTCACACTGATAATCCTTGAATTTATCACTAGTGTTTCTGTGGTTATTCAATGTGTCTGTTTCAGTTTCCTCACCTGAAGAACAGGGTAGGGGGTTGCCGGGGGGGGGAGGGTGATGGATCAGCAGGACTGAAGGGACAGCAGTGGCCCATTTCCAATCCTAAACGATTTGGGCAGTGTGGATTTTAAAATGGTGCTTTGGAGAAATATGCAAACCTCCCTAAATCCTCTAAATGTCATTTGATAGAATACAATAGCAATGACTTTTCAATGTGCAAAAATCTCCTTCCTTATAACTCTCTGGGGGAGGTGGGAGGAAATTTCTGAGTCCACCAAGTAGAGGAATGGCTATCTAGGGTTTATCAGAAAATGCATTTTAAAAAGGATATGTAAGAAAATTTTATCTTCTTTAGGTTATTTTGGTGAGTATTCTTTAAAATGACTCTTAAATACTAATGGTTATGCTGTTTAGCAATTTACATTTCATTAGACTGATATGATTCTCACCAAACACATAAAGAGAACCTGGGCTAAGGAACTCAAGAGAGCAGAGATAAGATTTTTATCTGGCACTGCATATACAAAGCATTGGTGTACCTTAAGCTGTGGAAATGCATAGTAGAAAAAGTAGCAGAATCACCCAGGTGAACGCACAGGAGTTTTTGGAAAGCTGTACAGCATCTACATCCTGTTCCATTTAACTCCCTCCTGTTTCTAGCTATTCTAGGACAGCCAAGCTGGCTATTACCTCCCCAACTGATGCTGATCTAAGCTAAGCTATGGGAAATGTCACATGTTTCTGGGCCCATTGCCTCTTAGCTCACAGATTCTGTGGAAGGGGCTGAAGGATTCACACTATTTTATTTAGAACTATGAATATATTAACCATAGAGAGAGAACCTTATGTACAAAGGTGGTATAGAACCGTGGAAAGCATGTAAAGTCAAAATAATGACAAACTTCCCAACCTTCAGTACCTGAAATGTGGCAAACCTATGTAAATCTGTAATGATGCTTTTGCAAACTGTGCCCTACAAATATAAGGCATTATGTTATAATAATCTACATTACCCAGCTAAGTCATAATAGTAACAGGAAGTAAATCAGTAAATTGGTGAGGGATTTATCCACTATTTGACTTATCTTAATAGAGGCTGGATTTTATTATAGATTTTATAATATTCATTTATGAATATTAATGATATATGTATATTTTATAATATTTTGAGTTTGGCTTACACTTCATATCCACAATACAAACCAGCCTGATTTTCGTATATAAACAAATAAATACCTCTTACCAAGAAAGAGGCCATGAATAAATTATTTGGTCTTCAAAGATTCAAGTAAAAACACGAAGATAATTTTTTTAAATGGATATATGTTATTTTTTCCCAAGGATATTATTTGGTTTGTAATAACATCTTACATATTATATCAAAAGGGGGCACCTTGGATTCATTTTACAGATGATAGTCAAGGCAGAGAAATCTCACCCTAAGGTACAATGTCAAGCCAAACAGAGGAAATCTGCCCAAGAACATTACTATTCATTATGGATTACTTCTGTTAAGTGTAACTGTGAGATGAAAGACTGCTAAACTGGAGGAATCTTACAAAATAATAATATTTTATTAATAATAGTCTTACAAAATAAATTTTATTTACAAAATAAATTAATTTCTTTACCTTTAGTTAAATTATTTCACTTTAAAGGGAGTGAGCCTAAAAAAGGTAGGGAATTTTAGAAATGTAAAAACATAATGGAATAATTTTCATTAACAAAAATTAAGATAAACCATGAAAAGATTTTATTGATGAAATATTTAGTCATTATATACAAAGAAACAATAAGAATTGATGACAATATTTATTTTTTAATCCATGAGTAATAAAGGGAAGAATAAGATCTATAGAAAATCAGACCTGAATCTCCATGCCATTCATTTTAAAAAAACAAACAAGCAAGCAACAACCACAAATAACAGGTAGCTACTTCCTTTTTGAACTCATGTGGGAGAAAGAAGATGGAAAAATCTACTTCCTCTTCAACTCATTTGTTTTTCTTCTTATTATGCTTAAATGAATCTTTTTTCTCCCTCTCTTAGGATCAGATGTTTAAGGAGCTACTCACATGTGATGCATCTCATCTTCTGCAAGATTTAGACACATACTTAGGGGAAAAAGAGTGGTTTATTGGTAACTCTGTGAGTATGTTTTACATCTTAAAAAAATACAAGCATATACATATATGGATAAACCAAAAACTTTATAAAAATGTATTGAAAAAAGTGTTACTCATAGGGACGGAGTAGGTTAGAGAGCAGGGACAAAAGCTAAACTTCTCTGAATAAAACTTTTTCAGTGGAGTTAACTTTGGAAACATGAAATAAAATATTTTATATAATTATATAACAACAACAAAAACATTTTAAAAAGCTATCACTGACAAACTAAAGCAAAGTGAAACAAATGAACTTGTGTCAAATTGGTGCACAGGGTATGTGGAGAAGTACCTGTGGACTCTATTAGTGAAACACTATCTTAAGAAACATCGTCATTTTAAAAAACACAGTGATTTGACTATACATCTCATTATAGATATTTTCTCTGGACAAAAAAATAATAATTGTACACCAGTTTCAGTTCACGATGTACTTTTTCTTAAGGTAAAGACAACAAGCATTTTGTGTCTCTTTTTCTCGAAAAAATGACCAGTCTAGTTGTTCTGGCCACCCCTTGGACCCAGATTCTGGTCTCTAAATACTAAAAGTAACCAGAACTTCTTGGAGAAATAGCTCATTCTCAGTTTGGGACAGGAAACGTAAAAAATGAGCCGGGAATACTTTGACATAATAGAACCAAATAAATTATCACAAACCCCCCACACACAACACCAGAGTTGTGTCAGAACGACTTAGCAGTCAATTTGTAGAAGCTCTCACTGGCCAAAGACGAGAAAATTCAAGCCACAATAAGAATATTAACTGCAATGGATTGAAACAAATCAAAATGAATTAATCCATGAGTTTATGACAACCACCATCACCAAATACACACACACACACACACACACACCTCAAAACCAAAGCTTCATTGGTGACTTTTAGAAGATGTTATGGAGCCAAATTATTACAAATTTTCACTGACTTATGATGGGATTATGTCCCAATAAATCTATCGTAAATTGAAAATATCGTTAAGTCAAAAAATACACCCAACCTACTAAGTATCATAGCTTAGCCTAGCCCACCTTAAATTTGCTCAGAACACTTACATTAGCCAACAGTTTTGGGCAAAATAATCTAACACAAAGCCTTTTTAATAAATTGTTGAATATCTCATGTAATTTATTGAATATTGTAGTGAAAGTAAAAGACAGAATGGTTGTATGGGTACAGAATGATTGTAAGTGTATAAGTTGTTTACCCTCCTGATTATGTGGTTCACTGCCACTGCCCAGCATCATGAGAGAGTACCATACAGCATATCACTAACCTGGGAAAAGATCAAACTTCAAAATTCAAAGTGCAGTTTCTACTGAACATGTGTCACTTTTGCACCATGGTAAAGTCAAAAAATTGTAAGCTGAACCATCATAAGCCAGAGACTGTCTGTATTCCGAAAACTGTTAAAAACAAAAAAGTTGAGGGGTTTGAATAAAGCATTTATCATGCCATTCCTATGCCAATTATACCTCAAGATAAAAAAAAAATTGATGGACAAAGTTTGCCTACATAAAGGTATTCTAGTTAATAAGTAAGGAAAGAGGACTTCCCTGGTGGTCCAGTGGTTAAGAATCTGCCTGCCAATGCAGGGGATACAGGTCTGATCCCTGATCTGGGAAAATCCCACATGTCACAGAGCAAATAAGCCCATGCAGTGCGCCACAATTACTGGAGCCTGTGCACCGCAACTACTGAGCCCACGTGCTCTGGGGCCCTCGTGCTGCAACTACTGAGCCCGCGTGCTGCAACTGCTAAAGCCTGTGTACCACAACCTAGAGTAGCCCCTGCTCGCCGCAACTGGAGAAAGCCCAAGTGCTGCACGGAGACCCAGCGCAGCCAATAAATAAATAAATAAATAAACAAATAAACAAGGGGAGTTTAAAATAAATCATCACCATTTTCCAACCCATGATGAATCAATGGATCTAAGCATTGACTATCAACAATTGTTAATATCACAAAAAAGGAGAGAACCAGACATTACGGGCCTACTGACAGAGGAGTGCACTGCCACCTATGAAGTAGTCTTGCCAAGAGAAAAATCAAATCTAAATCTGATTTAGAAGCTGTGGTAAGCTGGGGTCCCTGCTTTCAAGGAGACTCCATTCTAGGAGATGAGGTACTGCTTTTTGACATGCTCTTGTGACTTATTTTAATCACTGTCTGCTGAGTCCTGAGGAGACAGAGAAGCAAACTTGCCATATCTTTTATGTTCCTTTCTCTGCCCTTATTGATTGAACAATTTCAAAGAATGTAAAATATTTTTTTCCTTCTGCTTTTTATTAAAATTCCTTTGTAACCTATCTCCTAACCCCATCTCTTAGTGCTCTCTCCCTTCCTCAAAGTGTCCCAAACACTCTGGTGTTTTGTTTTTTCCTCGGACACAAGTCATACTCCCACCTAAGAGCCTTTACACTTGCTCCTCCTTCTGCCTGAAATGTTTAATCCCCAAATCACTGCATGTCTGGATCTTTTTTTCATCATTCAAGCCTTAGCTTAAATGTCACCTCTTAAAGAACTTCGCTCCCTGATCACTTGAGACTCCCTCTCATCACTCTACTTTGTCTATATCACCTTTATCACTTTACGATTTTTTTTGTTTTTAATTGAAGTATAGTTGATGTACAATATTATATATCACTGGCGTACAATATAGTGATTCAAAATTTTAAAGATTATACTCCATTTATAGTTATTATAAAGTATTCGTTATTTTCCCCATGGTGTACAATATATCATTATAGCTTATTTTATACATAATAATTTTTATCTCTTAATCACCTACTCCTATATTGCCCCTCTCCCTTCCCTCTTCCCACTGATAACCACTAGTTTGTTCTCTATATCTGTGAGTGTACTTCTTTTTTGTTATATTCACTAGTCTGTGCTATTTTTTAGATTCTGCATATAAGTGATATCATACAGTATTTGTCTTTCTCAGTCAGACTTATTTCACTTAGCATAATATACTCCAAGTCCATCCATGTTGCTGCAAATGGCAAAATTTCATTCTTTTTATGGCCAAGTAGTATTCCATTTATATGTATACCACATCTTATTTATCCATTCATCAGTTGATGGATAGGTTGCTTAGGTTGCTTCCTTATCTTGGCAATTGCAAATAATGTTGGTATGAACATTGGGGTGAATGTATCTTTTCAGATGAGAGCTTTCATCTTTTCCAGATATGTACCCAGGAGGGGAACTGCTGGGTCATATGGTAGTTCTATTTTTAGTTTTTTGACAAACCTCCCTACTGTTTTCCAGTGACTGCTCCAATTTACATTCCCACCAACAGTGTAGGAGGGTTCCCTTTTCCTTTTTCTCCACATCCTCGCCAACATTTGTTATTTGTGTTCTTTTTGATGATAGCCATTTTGACAGGTGTGAGGTGACAATCTCATTGTGGTTTTGATTTGCATTTCCCTGATACTTAGTGATGTTGGGCATGTTTTCATGTGCCTGTTGGCCATCTCCATGTCCTCTTTGGAAAAATGTCTATTCAGTTCTTCTGCCCATTTTTTAATTGTCTTTTTGTTATTAAATTGTATAAACTGTTTATATACATTGGATATTAACCCCTTATCAGTCATTTGCAAATATTTTCTCCCATTCAGTAGGTTCTTTTCATTTTGTCAATAGTTTCCTTTGCTGTGCAAAAGCTTTTACATTTAATTAGGTCCCATATTTTAATTTTGCTTTTATTTCATCTGCTTTAGGCGACAGATCCAAAATATATTGCTATGATTTATGTCAAAGTGTATTATTCTATGTTTTCCTCTAGGAGTCTTATGGTTTCTGGTCTTACATTTATGTCTTTAATACATTTTGAGTTTATTTTTGTACATGGTGTTAGAGAATATTTTTGTACATGGTGTTAGAGAATATTTTAATTTCATTCTTTTACATGTAGCTGTCCAGTTTTCCCAGACCCACTTATTGAAGTGACTGTCTTTTCTCTATTGTATATTCTTGCCTCCTTTGTTATAGATTAATCGGCCATAAGTGTGTGGGTTTATTTATGGGCTCTCTATTCTGTTCCATTGATCAATGTGTCTGTTTTTGTGCCAGTACCATACTGTTTTGATTACTGCAGCTTTGCACTATAGTCTAAAGCCAGAGCGTGTGATTCCTCCAGCTCTGTTCTTCTTTCTCAAGATAGTTTTAGCTATTCAGCGTCTTTTGTGTTTCCATACAAATTTTTAAATTATTTGTTCTTATTCTGTGAAAAATGCCTTGGTATTTTGATAGAGGTTTTATTGAATCTGTAGATTGCCTTGGGTAATATGGTCATTGTAACAATATTAATTCTTCCGTCCAAGAATATAGTATATCTTTCCATCTGTTTTTGTCATCTTCAATTTCTTTCATCAGTGTCTTACAGTTTTCCAAGTACAGGTCTTTTACCTCCTTAGGTATGTTTATTCCTAGGTATTTTATTCTTTTTGATGTGATGGTAAAGGGGATTGTTTCCCTAATTTCTCTTTCTGATAACTCAGTGTATATAAATGCAACAGATTTCTGTATAATAATTTTGTATCCTGCAACTTTACCAAATTTATTGATGAGCTTTAGTAGTTTTCTGGTGGAGACTTTAGGAATTTCTATGTAGAGTGTCATGTCATCTGCAAACAGTGACAGCTTTACTTCTTCCCTTCCAATTTCTATTCCTTTTAATTTCTTTTGCTTATCTCACTGCTGTGACTAGGACTTCCTAAACTATGTTGAATAAAAGTGGCAAGAGTGGGCATCCTTGTCTTGTTCCTGATCTTAGAAGAAATGCTTTCAGGTTTTCCCCATTGAGTATGATGTTACCTGTGGGTTTGTCATATGTGGCCTTTATTATGTTGAGGTAGGTTCCCTCTATGCCCACTTTCTGGAGAGTTTTTATCATAAATGGATGTCCAGTTTTGTCAAAAACTTTTTCTACATCTATTGAAATGATTATATGGTTTTTATTCTTCAATTTATTAATGTGG